ACATGGATTTTTCTGCTGAAATTTAAATCAGATGTCATCATAGTACTTAGAGATTTTCTTAAAAGGATAGCAACACAGTTTACTGCAGTGGTTCAGACAATAAGGTCTGATAATGGAGGGGAGTTTGTGAACTTAGAAATGCAAGATTTGCTTAAATCCTTAGGAGTCATACATCAAAGAACCTTTACCTACACATCCCAACAAAATGGGGTAGCAGAGAGAAAGCACAGGCACCTCCTTGAAGTTGCAAGGTCACTCAAATTTCAAGGTCATATTCCTATCAGGTTTTGGGGACATTGCATACTAGCTGCAGCTTATGTGATCAATAGACTACCATTAGTAGCTCTTGAAGGCAAATCTCCTTATGAGGTATTTTTTTCATAAAAAACCTTCTATAAGTCATTTGAAGACTTTGGGATGTTTATGCTTTGCTGCTGCCTTGCCAAGGGGAGATAAGTTTGGAAGCAGAGCAATTAGAGCAGTGTTTATGGGGTATTCCAGTGTAACCAAAGGTTACATTCTATATGATCTGGAGAAACATCTGTTTTTTATGAACAGAGATGTCATTTTTAGAGAGGACACCTTTCCATTTCAGTTACAGGATACAGAGATGAATCAAACAATGGATCATTTCCTTGTAAGTGATGATGATCATTTGCCATCAGAAGGCTCAGTACCAGCATGTTCACCCATATTGGAATCCACTCCAGGAAGCATATCTGAAGTTGATCTAGTGATAATGACAGAAGCAGCTCCTGTCACTGAAGTTCCACAGGATAATTCAACCTTAGGGGGAATTCCGGAGAATGAAGCCTTGCAACATATGCATGCATCTGCAGAGTCAGCTGATCATAATGAAGACATACAGAACATTCCTGATATAGATGAATCAATAATGCCAACTGACAATCTTGAGCAGGTTTTGCCATCCACAAGTAGCATTGACAATGCAATTCCTCTTAGAAGATCTCAAAGAGGATCCAAAGAGCCAGTGTGGATGACAGACTATGTTACTCAGAAGTCATCTACCAATTCAGTTTTATATCCTATTGAGAATGTTATCAGCTATGACAGGCTGTCCTCATCTCATCACACCTACCTTGGAGCTTTCTCAGCAGTCACGGAACCTCAAAGTTTCCAGCAGGCATCTCAAGATAAGAGATGGGTTGAAGCTATGCAGACTGAAATTCAAGCTCTTCAGGAGAGCAACACTTGGGAACTAGTTAAGCTGCCACCAGGAAAGAGACCTATAGAATGCAACTGGGTCTAAAAAATGAAGCTTAAAAGAGATGGTCAGATAGAGAGGTTCAAAGCTAGACTAGTAGCTAAAGGGTATAACCAAAGGGAGGGGTTAGACTACAATGAGACATTCTCCCCAGTGGTTAAAATAGCTACTGTCAGGACTGTTCTATCTCTTGCTGCTGTCAACAATAGGTTCGTTCATCAGCTAGATGTCTATAATGCTTTCCTCCATGATGAAGTCTATATGGAGCTTCCACAGGGTTTTACAAGTCAGGGGGAGCAGGGTATGGTTTGCAGACTTGTTAAATCCCTTTATGGACTTAAGCAAGCTAGTAGAAAATGGAACCTCAAGCTAATAGAGGCACTTCTGCATTCTGGTTTTCTTCAGAGCAGCCTAGATCACTCTTTGTTCATCAAACAACAAGGGTCAGACATTGTAGTAATTCTAGTCTATGTGGATGATATGTTAGTAACAGGTAGCAGTTTATATCTGACTGAAGCCACCAAGAACTCTTTGCACCAAGAATTCAAGATTAAAGACTTGGGAGAATTGAAGTTCTTCCTTGGAATGGATTTCAACAGATCAAAGAGGGTATACTGATCAACCAAAGAAAATATGCTTTGGAGATAATCTCTGAGTTAGGGCTCACAGGTGCTAAGCCAGCATGGACTCCTCTAGAGCCAAACGCAAAGCTAACCGTGCCAGAATTTGATAAACTGACAAAAGCTGTGAATGATACTTTGTTAGCTGGCAGTGGACAATATCAAAGGCTCATTGGAAAGCTATTGTATCTGACATTAACAAGGCCAGATATAGCATTCTTAGTACAAACACTAAGCCAGTTCTTACAAAGTCCTAAGAAGTCTCATTGGGGTGCAGCAATGGGAGTGGTAAGATATATTAAAAGAGAGCCAGGAATGGGGATTCTATTAAGCAGCAGCAACAACAACAAGTTAAGTGTATACTGTGATGCTGAATGGGCTTCATGTCCCAATACAAGGAAGTCAGTATCAGGTTTTCTGGTGAAATATGGAAGTTCCTTGATCTCATAGAAGTCAAAGAAGCAGAACATAGTGTCAAGAAGTTCAGCTGAAGCTGAATATAGAAGCATGGCAAGCGCAATATCAAAAGTAGTATGGTTGACAGCACTGCTAGAGGAGCTGGGGACAAATGTAGAATTACCAATTAAGGTGTACAGTGATAGCAGGGCTGCTTTGCAAATTGCAGCCAACCCAGTATTCCATGAAAGAACGAAACACATAGAAATAGATTGTAAACTTTATCAGAAAAAAGATTCAGGAGGGCTTGATAAAGACAGAACATGTGGGAACTAGAGATCAAGAAGCTAACATTCTAACGAAAGGATTAGGAAGACAACAACATGAATATCTCGTAAGCAAGCTAGGTGTGCTGAACATTTTTGCACCACCTAGCTTGAGGGGGAGTAATGAGAATGGAAATGTATATAGTAGTGTAGGATCTTCTAGAATCAGTTACGTAGTTGGATAATTAGTTTAAGTGGTTGGTTAGTTAGCTGATACTCGATATATGTATGTATGAGAATACACTGTACAAATGAGTGAATAGAATTTTCATTTCATTCCTCTCTTCCAATATTTCTCTCTCTATATTTCATTCCAGAATCTTCTCTGCCGAGTTAAGGTTCACCATTTACCCTAACAATAAGTTTGTTAGATCATCAAAACATAACAGAGATACACATATAACCTATCAGTTCCATATTAAGAAACAATTTACCTTTATGCAATGATTTAGAGTCACACAAAATATATGTGCCTCATTTGCATCACAAGTTCAAAAGTCTTCTCTTTTTTCTTAAACTCCGCATTCATTCTCACAAAAATTAAAACGGAGGGAGTATATCTTAATCTGTTATAGTTTAACTAGATACTGTAGAATAATTAAGTACTCCATATAATATTAATTAGATAATTAGAAGTATAAAATTGGTCAACCTAAGGTCAATGAAGGTACCCCTAACATAAAAAATTTCAAAGAGGCAAGTAACCGTAATTACTCCGTACACGGGAAAAGGGTTTAGAGTTGCAACCTATGGTTAATAATGCTATGCTCCTTTTCCTCTAGCATTAGTATATATAATATAAAACATGTCGCAATTCTTGAACCTTAGCTTCGACCTTTCACTATGTCATTTCTTTAATATTCCTTCCTTAAATTTTTTTGGTCAAATGGGGATAGAGTCTCTTCGACCTGCGTATACACCAATAGTAGTTATGTGAAGATTCTCATATTTTTAGGTCACCTAAACATGAAGGTGTCGGTTAGGGCCTATATTCTAGGTTTAGTGACTTGGTATAAAAAGGGTAGGTTTATCTGTTGCAACCAATCAAGTTACAGAAGTGAATCCAAAATTTTAATTTTATAGGTGCAAGATTTCGATTTTAACCGGTGAAATCATAACCTTGCTTGAATTGTGGATTCATAGCTCGAAATTTTCAGCAATTCTAATGAATTTTATACTAAAAATTCACGTCAAGGATAAAAGCCATGGGTTCAATTGAACCCATATATGAACTATCGAATCCGCCCATAAGTGACTCTACGCGCACAAAACAACAACAAACTTAGTGAATTTTTATAAGTGTGGTATGGGAAGGGTAAGATATACGCAACCTTACCACTATCCTAAAAGGATAAATATGCCATTTTCAATAAACCATCAGTTAAAGAAAAGATGATAAGAAGTAATAGCGAGTTATACTACACGCATAACTATTTTTTTATATATTCAACAAGTTACACTATTCGTATTTAGATTATAAGAATTTTTCTAATAATCTAGTTGGTTGGTTACTTAAATTTTTATCATATTTGTAAGGATTCGATTTCTCACCTTATAATTTTCTCTCCCATTTTCTTGTTCGCCATCCCTTATGTATAAAAAAGAATATGTAAACTATCAGGGGCGGCTCAAGCACATGTGTAGCCTAAAATCAAAGTTTAATATGAGGCATAAAAAGATTGTTGAACACTTGAACTAATGAAATCCTAGAGAAAGAAGGTGAGTAATGAAATCTTGGATCGAAGAAAGAAGATGAATAAAAATATCAAAGAAAAAGACAAAAAAATATATGGGTTTTTGGAATATGAAGAGATTAGGGGAAAAAAATTAACTTGGACAAGTTAAGGAAGAAAAATAAATTTTTTACGCGTTATCTAATAAAAGAGTAAAAAGTTAAATTTCAAATTAACTTAAATTGAAACGTTGAAGAACAATTCAACTACCCATTTTTTTTAGTAAGTCAAAAGATTACTTTATTTATATATCTAAAAAGTTTTATTTTCTTTATATGAAAAAATCTACTTTTTGTATTAAAAAATACTAAATATTATTATTTTTTAAATACATATAAACCTATTATTTCTAAAAATGGAGCCCCCGAAATTTGGGGGCCTAAGGCACCAGTCTTACTTGTGATAATAGTAGAGCTGGCAATGTAAACTATTGGTCTAAGGACTCGTTTGGTACGAGAGACAAAGAATAATTAATCTCGAGACTAAATTTAAGATGAATTTATCCAATGTTTGAGTTGTAGAAAATTGCGATATAATTAATCCCGGTATTAGTTATTCCGGAATAGTAATATTTTCTTTATCCCCATAAAAAAATGGAATAACTAATTCCGGAATAACTAATCTTGTGATAACTTATTTCCAACTGGGAGTTTTTATTAGCGTATCTAGTTGACTAGGGCAATTTGGTCATTCAATTATATAGTACCCAGCATTGGAGTAAATATTACTTCCACTGTTCACAATAAATTAACAGTTTCTAATCCCAAGTAGAACTAGTACACAGTCCTTAGCACATTATTTTGGACTTCTCTCCTATTTTATTTCTCACAAATCTCGCATCTTCTCCCACGTCTCCTTCTTCCTCCTTCCCTTTCACTCCTTTAACTCACTCTCTTCACCTCCATTTCTCTGCAACAAAAAGGAAGAAAAAAATGTTCTTTTTAATACCAAAACTTTTAGTTTAACTAAATGGGCAAAGCATCTAAATGGTTTAGAGGGCTTCTTGGCCTTAAGAAAAACGACCCATCATCTTCTTCCTCTACCCAAAATAATCAGACAAACCCCACTAAGCCCACTAAGAAAAAATGGAGCTTTGTTAAATCTTACAGAGAAAAAGATTCTTCTTTTATTAAACCTGCTGATAATAAATCGAATTATGGTGTCTCAACCGACGCCATTGGCAGTGTTGATCCGACTAAGCGTGCGATTGCGGTGGCGGAAGCAACTGCTGTTGTGGCGGAAGCTGCTATCGCCGCCGCTCAAGCTGCTGCTGCGGTGGTGAAACTCACTAGTAGCGGTAGAGGTACTTCTACTAGTAACGGTGCTAGTGGTCATGGTGCTGCTGTGATGACGTGGAATGGTGTTGCTGTCAGCTCCTCCTCCGCCTCCTCTGCGGCGGTTGTTAACAGAAGTGGCGCAGTCTCCGGCAGCCGTGAAGATTGGGCCGCCGTCGTCATACAATCACATTTCCGGGCTTATCTGGTTAGTTATTACTATATATATTACATTCGGTTTTAACTTTTATATACAATAACAAATTTAAACAAGACTAAGCTAATACATGAACGCTGTACAATTTTTTTTTTTTAATTATTGTCATTGTAGTTTAGCATAATGATACTAGTAGGTTAGAACCTATTTTAAATAGATTTAAATTATACTATATCAATAATGTAATAAATCTTTTACATCAGTGTTATTTAACACTATCAGTGCATAAAGTTTTCTTGATAATTATCTTATAAATCATATGATATTGCAAATAAGGTTATGCTCTGAGTACATATAGCTTAAGCTCTAAAAAATTTCTTTTAACACGTTGGACATGCCTTAATTTTCAAGGTTACTAATTAATGCACATTTTTAAATAAACTAATGCCGTAAAAGTTCTTCTTTTTACTTTGATATTGAGTAAAAACGACGTAGTAGTGGGTGCCGAAGGTTCTGTTGTATAGCAAATGTTGTTTTCTAATGTCCTCTTTTGATGTGCCTTTCCGTTATGAACAGACAGACGTAGCTTAAACAGTAACCAATATATTGTATAGTTTCCAGTGTTCTATTATGCATATTTTTTCCTATTAAAAAAGGGAATCTTATTTGTTTTGTGGGGTAGGGGGGTTAAGGGGGTGGGTGGGTTAAGAGTTAGAACATGGTGAAGGGGAAAGTATGAACCGTGTGGACCTGAAAATCTAAAAATGGAAATAGTGTGGTTAGGTTGTAGTTTTCTAGATTCATTTAATTTAAGGAATGGGCTAAAGTGTACTTTTTTGCAAAAATTTAATGAAACAAATTTGTGTATTCCAAGATGGGTAGTTTCCTAGTCTGTCTGTCTCTTGTTTCTTTTCTTTCTTTTAACTTTGATCATATTTTTGTACGTTAGTGCAACTGTGGTGTTTACTGTTACAGCCAGCAGCTAAGGTCACAGGCACTGTTTTATGATGGTAATGTTGCATGTATTTGGTAATGTAGTACTCTTTTGTTTGTTATATGATGGAAAATGTGAACTAGATTAAATAATAAAATCAAAAGGTAAAATGTAGAATTAGAATAGGAAAATTAGTGTGAAGTTCGTCCCGACTTTGGTCTAGTGGTAAGAGTGCAAAACTTAATGTATTGGATAAGTGTCATGTTACCAGTTTCAGTCATGCTTACAAAAGTATGTGATTTAAGCAGAGAAGTGTAGATGGACGGGTTCATCATCCACCAACTTTCGAACCGTATGTCAATGACTCTCTTGGTTAACAAAAACACCAACATACCTAGTGTAATCTCACATTGTGGGGTCCGGGGAGGGTAAAGTGTACGCAAACCTTACTCTTATTTTGTAGGGGGTAGAGAGGCTGTTTCCGAAAGACCCTCGGCTCAAGAATGTCAACCACTCTCTTGGTTAAAAATTTTTCTTAATGGGAATATGCATCTCTATATGGTTAAGTCATTAATGAACATGCTTTGTTTTGGTGAGTTTTAATCCTTGTTCTTTTATTTGCTTTCCATTTTTGGATATTTTGAGCCCCTTGTAGATGATGACTAGAACCTGAAATTTTCTCTACTTTTGTTAGGCAATGAGATGTTCTTAGTATTAATATCTCTCAATTAATAGAGCTAAGTGTTAGGTAACTTATGTCAGTATAGTTCAACATCATAATTTCTGTGCCCTGAGGCAAAGGTTTAATATTATGAAAGTTCAGCTGTTTTTATGGACCACTTGGTTAATTAGTTGATAATCCAATAGCTGAAATTTTGTGCTAGTATTTTTGTTCCCTCCATTTCCAAGAGGATTATATATAGAGGAAAAATAGAAGAGAACTTTTCTGTAGTACAATTGCTTTGGCTTTAGAGAGTTGAAGTCAGAAGCTTTTATGGTTACTTTTCCTTTCTTTATTAGAAGATTTGGTGAATAGTCATATGTCCTAATCTTCTGAAATGTCAGACTACACTTTAGAAGATGACTTGAGGGGTGTGAAAATGAAGTTTTAAGGCGCCATCACCTTTGAAAATTTCATGCATTTTTGTGCTATGGCCCATACAATAAAACATCATCTAAAACTAGTGCATTTGATACTGATATTAAGTTGTTTCGTTTGGTACAACCTGAATTTAATGTCACCTGACAGTAGGTCTTGTCGCTGTTATACCTTTTGATTGCTAATTAATTACGCGTAACGCGTATTAGTTTACTAAGTTAATTTTTTGTTATGTAATTTGAAGTCGAGGAGAGCTTTACGAGCGTTGAAGGGGCTTGTGAAGCTTCAGGCATTGGTGAGAGGTCACATTGTGAGGCAACAAACTGCTGATTATCTACGGCAAATGCAAGCAATGATCAGAGCTCAGTCGAGGGCTCGTGCTGGGCGATCTCAGGTCTCGGGATCCCCACATTCGAGCACCAAATCTGTTCAGTTTCTTCATGCTGTAAGTGAAAAGATTTTCCTTCCCTCCAACTGTTTAAATTTGAGGAGTATTCTTATTTTCTTAAAACCTCCTATGCTAAAGTAGTAAAGTTTCAGTCTTCAATAGTAGAAGTTATACTTTGATAAAGACTATTCTTCATACTTTAAGCATCCAACTGGAGTCCCCACACCTTTTTCTCATCTATTGTAAAAAGATGGCACTCCTTTTTTCCTGATATAGAAGTCACTCTTTTTGGAAAGTGGATAAGCAAGTCATGTGACACTAACATTCTTTGACATATTGGTGAAATTTCTAAGCATTTCATGTGGGGATTTCTTAAAAAATGAGTTAATTATAATAATGTTTGTAATTCAACAACAACAACAACCCAGTGAGATCCCACATGTGGGATCTGGGGAGGGTAGTGTGTACGCAGACCTTACCCCTACTCCGGAGGAATAGAGAGGCTGTTAATTATAATAATGTTCGTAATTAACATAAGTAATTTTTCCTTAACAGATTATGTTGTCCTAACCTGTGTTACTTTGCTCTGATATGCCTATGGTTGACCAAACGTGTCGATGACTTGTAGGGTCCTACAACTCCTGAGAAATTCGAGCATGTTATCCGTGCAAGGAGCATGAAGCATGATGAAACATTTATGCTCAAGGTATTGGCTGAGTATTTTATGTTTTGGGAAATGTGGCAACTATTTCTATTATTCACGACTTAACGTCAAGTAAAAATATTGCAGAGGAACAGCTCGAAATCAAATTGGAAGGTGATTGATTCGGAAAAGGCACGAATTAGACCCCAAGGATCTTCTGCAAGAACCAATTCTTTTGATGATGAAAAAAGTGACAAGATCCTCGAAATAGATACTGGGAAACCGTATGCCACGCCTAAACAAAGGAACCTCTTCCACTCCTCTCATCTTAGCTTGAATTCTGACCAATACAGCTATAGCTTAACAACATCAAAGGAATCAACAGCTCATCAAACAGTTCCAAGTCCATCGTCCTGTGGAAATCAACCCCTGAGCCCGTTGAAGTTCAACGAAGAACTCGAGGAAGCCTGCTTCTGCACTGCTGATAATAGCCCTCAGTTTTACTTGGCTTCTTCAAAAGGCGGTAGTACAAAGAGAGGGCCGTTTACTCCAACTAAGAGCGACGGTTCAAGAAGCTGCTTGAGTGGTTACTCTGATCATCCTAACTACATGTCTTACACCGAGTCAGCCAAGGCTAAGGTACGTTCAATGAGTGCACCAAAACAAAGGCCACATTACGAGAGATCAAGCTCAATAAATAGGTACTCGATTCACGGGTACAGTGAGTCAAGAACCAACTCACAAAAGGGTTCCTTTGATGCCAGTTTCACTGGTAAAGCTTATCCTGGTTCTGGTCGATTGGACCGGCTTGGAATGCCTGTTATTAGGGCAGATCCATCTGGATTCAGTGGTGGTCTTCGGCACAGATATTAAGCTAATTGTAGTTGAAGTTTTCTGTTTAATTCTATAACTGTTCATCGACTCTGATTATGCTAACTTATGTAGCTAATTAATTATGAAATATCCTAATGTCTTACCATAGGCATTTTCCTTGTTGGAACCACGGTGCTAATGTGAAGCAATTTATGTTTAGTTCTAAATCTTACTTGGAAAAAGATGCAATATCTTGGTTATAGCTTTAACTCTATTTCTTGGCTGCTTGGCCCTTTCCCGAACTCTGCGTAATTGGGGATGTTTTATGCGCCGGGATGCTCTTTTATTTGTTTGTAAATTAGTGTAAATCAAAATGACTTTTCTCTAAAAATCAGTCCGTCTGCCCTTCAATCACCTTTTACAAAATATATTTATATTTCAATTTTTTTTTTTGGGATTTTGAATGATTCAACCCTCCAACTAGGGGTATTCATGGTTCGGTTTGGATCGGTTTTTTCCTAAAAAGAAACCAAACCAAGTAAGTCGGTTTTTCAAATATTAGAATCAAACCAAACCAATTAAGTCGGTTTTTCTCGATTCGGTTTATGTCGGTTTTTCGGTTATTTGTCGGTTTTTTCTTAAATATAAGACATACACTACCAAACACATATTCCGGCGACCACATCTATCAAATCAATTGCCCTTTGAGAAATCTAGTATTTACCAAGATATATTGATGATAATTGAATCAAAAAGTGATGAATAATTTAAGGACTCAATTAAAAATATATTATTTTTAACACAAAATGGATTCTTACACTAAACAAAAGAAAACTACCAATCAAACTAATGTAAAGGTAAAGAACTATATTAAAAGTGCAAACTATTAACATTTACCATAAATTTTTTGAAACTTTGTATAACAATATATATATATATAGGTGTAATAATAAATTTGAAATAACTACTCCTATAGTCGGTTTGGTTCGGTTTCTTTCTGATTATAACCAAAATCAAACCAAATTTGATCGGTTTTTAAAATTCAAAACCAAAACCAAACCAAACAAAAAAGTATTGGTTTTTCTGGTCGGTTTGGTTTGGTTTTCGGTATGGTTCGATTTTTCGAATTTTTATGAATACCCCTACCTCCAACAATGAACTGAATTCAACACTGGCTGGCACCAGCCCATTTAAGCATATCTTCCATTTTCCCAGGAAGATCTTTGTTTTTGTAATTTAAAACATCAGATTTGTGGGGCCCGCATAATTAACAATTTTTGAAGAGATAAGGGTTTGTTTTGGGACCATGGATGTACTTTGGCGTAGACGTGTTCTCAATCTTTGATTAAGACTTCTTATTTTCACTCTGCATTGTGTTAATTCCAGCTTTGGCTCTATATATAATCTTGACGACTGCCATATTATACTTTTTGTTATGTTTTGCATAACTTTTGTGCACCGACAATATGTATATTTTTTATATCATCAAGTTAAGCTGACCTACAACAATAGATAACTTCTCACAATAATCTGATATCATAACTCAGCCAAGGGCGAAACTACATTATCCTAAGGATTGTCAATTGACCACCATTCGTCGAAAAATTACACTACGTATATAGGTAAAATATTAGACTTTAGAGGTATATAGCATATATTGAACATCTTTTGTCGGAGAATTTTGTCTACTTCTTTCAAGTTTGAACACCCGTAGAAAAATTCCTAGCTTCGTCATTGCAATTAGCTATATCCAGTTAAATTATACTTAATAGTGTAAAATCCGCCAACATAAGTTATATATCCTTTTGGCATTAGGGTGGTATTTTTTTATGTCACACTAATGGGAAAAACAGCGGATGGAGCTGCTCCTCCCTTTAATTAGAGATTCGGGTTCGAGCTTTGGGTCTGGAATTTTTTTTGGTAGGGAGCATTTATCCTGAATGGGTCCCTATCCGACGCGAAAACGAATAGACTCCAATGCGGATAGTGAACATCGGATGATAAAAAAAAAAAAAGGGTAAAACAGAAAGTAGGAGAAAGTCCTTGTTGTAGTTAATGTCGGACAGATAAAATGTTCATTTGCCGGTCTGTTTACGCTCCTTTGCTGTTAATTCTATGTTGTAAAAGAACCATGAACCAATCAATTATCATGGCTTTTCAGCCTCTCTTAGTAGTAAATTAAATGTCCGCTTTTATTTTGTCAACCAACAACTATGAATTTTAAAATTTTGAATTTTTCTGTACTTAGTGCATTAGATGATCTAGACTTGACACTTGAGTTGAATTTGAGTAGCTAAGGTCTTTAATGTCTTTTAGATGTATAGGCTCAAATTATTGCTTGCAAAGAACATCAATAGGGAACATAATCTTCACATATTAAATACTAAATTTGCATTCTATTGTAGACAAACATGTTCATTAGACTTTTAAATTGCAATAACAATGGTGAATAATTGAATGGACAACACTATCATAATGTAGTGATTGGGTGGCAGCTAAAAAGTCATACTCACACGTCTTAAAATTCTACTATATAATTCTTCGTTCTTGTCTTTATTATTATCTTGTTGAATTCTATTTGTTTATTGAGTAACTTTAGGTTAGTGATGAAGAACCCTGTCTGTAATCTGTATAGCATACGGTATTTTGTTTTATGTCCATCATATCTAAAACATAGACCAAATCTTAAAGGAGCTAAAGTATTTTTCTATAAATGTGATTTATGTTAATAACACAAAGAGAAACAAGAAGGTGTCGTGGTGTAGTTGGTTATCACGTCAGTCTAACACACTGAAGGTCTCCGGTTCAAGTCCGGGCGACGCCATCTGCGTGCGTTTAAAGCATTTTTATTTCTTGTTTCTTAATATTTCTGTATCCATTTTGTAGTTTTGTTATAAGAAATTATTTCCATGGTTTTGAGTATTACCTAGAGAATTTGTCCGCACTTCGCAATTATAATAATTATCATATAATTTAATTATTATAAATTTAATCCAAAACAGAGGGAACATTAGTTTAGTTATATATTATATTTAGATATATGAATGTATTATATGCATTTGAATTTGTTCTTTTGACTAAATAGTAAAATATTTAATAAAAATGAAGTGAAAAGTAAAAAAACTAAAAATAGAAAAGAAAATCGCTCTACTATGCTTTCTTTTATTGATCTTCTTTTTCTTTCCTTGTCAATTCCCAAATGTCTCTGATATTTTTCTTTTCTTTTTCTCTGAATTCCTATCTTATACTGTCTCTACAAACCATTTTTTCTTTCCTTTCCTTTTCTACAATTGCTATTTTAGTTTGCCTCGCTAGATTTAGCATTTTAGCAATATACTATTCAAAAACCTTACAGATGGGAAGACTTTTTTTCTTTTTTGTACCACGTTCAATCCAATTCTTGGAGTTACTATATATACAAAACCTGAAATAAAAGAATTGAAAAGAATTAAAATTGTTACACTTTTAATTGGACAGGATAAGAGAAAAATGCCAAAAAAAGTGATAAAAAATAATTGGTCATTTTAGTTCTAAAGAAGTACTACATTAATATCTGTATGTCAGATACAAATTGTATTCTTCACACACTGACCAATAATCTGTTAGTAAAATCCAGCAAAATAAAAAAAAAAAAACCTTCAGTATCATGTATTTTCTACTCTCCCCCCCCTCCCCCCCCAAAAAAAAATCAAAAAGTTGTAACACCAAAGTCACCATTGCAGCACCATGATCCATATATAACACACAAAAATAAAACAACAAAAATGACTTGAAAATAGAAGTGGCATACGAACTACAAAAATAATGAAAATTGATAGAAAAGATTGCCATAATTAATCATGTATCATTAAATAAAAGCTTGCCAAATTTCTCACCAGCTCTTGGAAATTGATAGAAAGATAATTTTAATATTATCATCAACATCACCTTAGTTATCACGATCCTAAAACGGACCCGATCGTGATGGCGCCTATCGTGAAACTAGGCCAGCCGACACAAACCTCAAAACCAACCAGACATTTATAATAAGTCATTTTAAGTCATTAATTAGCTAAAATCCCACAATATAAGTTAAAATAAACAGTGCGGAAATATAGCTCAGCCTGGTATCGGGGTGTCACCAGTCATGAGCAACTACAACTCGTCTCGGAATAAGAAAGGACAACATAGTCTAAAAACAGATGCTAATACAAAGCTGAATAAGATAGGAAGGAGAAGCACTGGGCTACATACGCCAAGCAGCTACCTAGTCAACTCCGGAGACCCGCTGGAAGGCTAATCAGCACTCGCTATCGCGACCCGAGACTCCTGGATCTGCACACAAGGTGCAGGGAGTAATGTGAGTACGCCAACTCAGTAAGTAATAAAAGTAAAGGCAGCTGAGCAGTAAGAAAACACGTAAACCACGTCATAACGCTACAACAAAACAGTATAAGTCCAAAAAATGCAGTAAAGCAATCAAACTCGTAAAAACAACTCAGTTTAGTAAAACCTTTTAAAACATCTTTCAATAGTTTCAAACGAGTGATGAAAACAATGATTAAAAGGATAGAAACGTAAACAGCCCCTTGGGCAAAACAAGTACCATAAATCGCCCTCGGGCATAATATCAGCAGAACCAGCCCCTCGGGCTACCTCACAGTCACTCGTAATCAGCCCCTCGGGCAACAACATGAAATAACAACAGCCCCTCGGGCAATATCACATCACACACACTGGGTACCCGCGCTCACTGGGGGTGTACAAACTCCGGAGGGGCTCCTACAACCCAAGCGCTAACATAAGCCATCTCGTGGCATAACAAATCAGGCCCTCGGCCTCTCATATATCACAAATCAGTACAACCTGCTGCGGCGCGCAGCCCGATCCTATGATATCCTCACAACACAGGCCCTCGGCCTCACTCAGTCAGAACTCACTCAAACTCCTCGGGCTAACAGTAAAACAGGTACTCGGCTCAAAATATTATTTATTAAATCAAAAGGAGTAAATAAAATGCGAGTTATGAAATCAGTGAAAAGATAGCATGACCGAGTGTAAATATTATCAAACAGTGAGGAAACAGTAGTAAAAAGATCCTAAGGTTCCAAACTGTCGGCACAAGGCCCAAACACGTCATTCAGCCCCAAACATAGGTAATAATTTTCAAAACACAATAATATTAAACAGTGTTCAATCAAATACGCGACTTAACAGTCGTACGGGACGGACCAAGTCACAATCCCCAACGGTGCACGACCCC